TGCCTCGCTGGTGACCAATCCAAATGAATCGACAAGTGGCTGCGCGAAATCGAGCTATGAAGGTAGCAAATTTGATTTTACCATAACGTTGACTGTCGCTACATTTCTTTCAATTAAATATTATTGTTCGCAAATGACTCCTTTCTTATTATGCAACTTAATTTTACATTGCTTGAAGTAAATATTTTCTTGTAATAAATAAAATAAAATTGTTATAATACAAACATATTTCTGGTAATAGTGTAAGACTTATACTGGCAAATAGAATTTCTTTGCAACAAAGATATTTTAGTTGAGATACAAATTAAAAAAAATCATTCCCAGAATTCGATATTTAATTGATCGATGCGATTTAATTTATTTAATTAGAACAAATGTGGTTTATTTTCAAGAACTAATTCTTTTTCTCTGTGTAACCAGTAACATCTCTTAGAAAGAATAGAAAGGATTAGTGAGGAATATGGATGTTAATAAGCCAAAGTTAAGTCACACCTTCGAACATTTGTTAAAACAAAATGGGATCAGTCTAAGAAATTAGAATGAGAATGCTAGAGCCGCATTCAGGAATCTAAAAAAATGCTTACAAACAGTCAATTATGTCTCCTTGTAAAGATAAGACTAGCGAAAATGCTAATTGTTCTCTGTTTTCTTTTATACAGGGTGCGTACGATATTTGAGGACAAATTGATATTAAACGACTGAATGCTTGAATCCAATGCTCTTTCGTCATGTTGATATTATGGTTGTTATAGCATCCTTCACCAATGAAATGGTGTTATGGGGATATTTATAGGTCTCTCGCTGAACTGCGCCCCATACGTAATAATCAAGGGAATTAAGATCCGGGGAGCTAGGCGGCCATAAATTTGGGGTGATGTGGTCAGAAAAATGTTCAGCCATCCAATCTTGTGTTTTGTTTCTGATTCCGAGTTTATGCCGCCATAAACTGTCCCCTGCGCATAACGTAGGGCTTATAGCAGATGTGTTCATGGACAACTCGAAGGAATAGACTTTTGGAGACTTTAAGGATTTTGTGAATGATTTCTTGCACTTGCACTGGACAAATTGTTGTCATGTCTTGTGCGTTTTGAAATTGTTTCTACATCGCCAGGTAATGCTTCCAATTCACCACGAACGTTATCTACGCCGTTGAGAGAATTGGAGATTTCCAAATCGGTGCATTTCGCGCATATAGCGACGATAACTGCATATCTCTTCATTTATTGTGTTACTTCATAGTCCTCTATTGATGATCTCAGAAAAAAAAAGCAAAAAAATTATTCTCCATAAATGACAGCCACATATATCTTCAAATACCTTTCGCACCCTGTACTGTGGAGGCCTGGACCCTGACTGAAATGAACACGCTCGGAGTTTTTGAAATGGATCAACCACATCACCAAGTTGGAAAAAACAAATGCAAGTGCAAAGGGAAAGTCAGAATATTTCGGTTATGAGTGTACAACAAAAGAGGGCCAGAGAGGAGAATACACTACACTGCCAAAGTGGTTCGGGCTCACATCTACCCAATTGTTTAGAATAAAATTCGGATTGCCATGTCCGTAAGAATATGAACACATGCCTTCAAGTAGATAAATCAACCGGTAAATAGAATATCTGCTGAATAACATTGTGGATAATAAGACTCAGTGGCAAGTGTGAACGGGATTTAAGCATCTACACGAAATACAAGTTGGTTTTAGCAAAGGGCATATTTTTTTGAATGCTTATTATTAGTTACTTTTGTATAGAGAGGTTAGTTTCGTAGCATAAATTTGCGGGTCGGGCGTGTTGAATTATCAGTTCAAAACACACGCGTTTTGTCAGGTGTTCGTCGACGGAATGGCAATAAAAGCGCCATTATTCCCCCGCTATCGCAAAAATTGGCGGCACGGTGCGACGGCGGCGGTACCGAAACCACGTCCACGTTGCGCGTGACAAATTCTTGAGCGCGAATAATCGCCCAAGAATGCTGGCCGGCCCAGAGAGCGCACAGGTGTCCTCCCCGAGTGTGTTTACGTTGGAAATGGTATTCGAAACCACGGAATAACCCTTCCATTCTATTATCCATATCAACAGTCATATATAGTTGTTTTTATTATCTTTAGAAATGGCAGAAATAATTGCAGCTCTTGCATTGAGGTAAAGTCTACCGCTTTATGTGTGTCTGATTAATGGCGGCTGACATCGACGGAGTAATTGAAATTTTCTATTTCTTCCCTGAATAATTTGAGATAGTTGTTCTTCTTGGTTGGAAAACCCTATTATAATACGTTAAAACAATTTCTGCTCAGGCGATTTTCATCTTCTCGAGGTTAATATTCTTGAATTTTGGGGACTAAAAATATTGTGAGCAAATACTTAAAAGTGGGCATCTTTCCTACAATGTTAATATACAGAAAAAACATGAAAAAGTTTTATTTTCTAAGGAGAAATGTATTCCATTTGGGAAGAATGATAGAAGTTGGGAGGAACAAGTATCAACTTGCGTAGTCGCATGATATAATTAATGCTAACTTCTTGTATTCATTTTATTACAGCTGACACCAAGAGCCTTGGAAGAGGCACGATATTGTAGCACTACTTATGCTACCACTATTCTCTGTAATTCAATTAAAAAAGGCGTTCATTGGTGGTAATACAGTTGAGAAGTTTGAGAACATAGAATCCTTTCTACCTGCTTCATTTCTACTCCCCGATGTCAACAATGCGGGTTTCAGGTTTTCAGAGAAATTTTTAGGGAATAAAAATCTTAAATCTCTCTTGGAAGTAAAATTTCCTCTTTTTTCAAGAATTAGACAATGATTTTTCAAGCATGTACCTAAATGTTACAAACTAGCAACGATTTTCCAAGAAAATTTAATGCAATCTGGGCACATTTTCAGAAGAAACTTCCGCTAAAGTGCCACAATCTAACCAAAAACTGTATAACTCAGGAACTGTCAGCGGAAATGCTGAACGTGGCAAGGCCTTACGGTATAACGTATGCTGATATTTAATGGTTTTCCCCCAAATTTGTTGATTATGATTTCAAATGTCCTGATACTACAGCAGCATCAGTAAAGCCTCTATCTTTTTAGTTGTTGTTCTTGTTGGCCATGATAGATGTAAACGTTTGAGGAATATATATATATATATATATATATATATATATATATATATATATATATATATATATATATATATATATATATATATATATATATATATATATATATATATATATATATATATATATATATATATATATATATATATATATATATATATATTTAATTATCCATGTGCAAGTATGCGAGTAGGACATTAATAATTTATAAATTTTGAAATTTAGTGGGTATCTCGTCTTTAAGGGAATATACAAACCAAAATGGCGAGCGAAAGTTTTTTGAAATATTGTAACGTAGTGCGTATCCATGCATGTTTTATTATTACTATTATTTCAGAAATAATTTTATTCGTATTTTTATTGTCATCTGGTGCATTAGATTGCACCATTTTGATTGAAGACTGTTATTTGCAAATCATGTATTGCGATACTATATAGGAGGGATTAATGAATAGTTTGCATCGATAGATAAATCTAAGCAGCAAGAGATTGTGCTCCTGTAGGTAGTAAAGTATAGTGTGACGTAATGCTGGTGGGTGGCAAAGGAACGTTTATCTCGATTATAGTTGTTTATTTAAGAAATTCCTATGTTTGCAACATTAAATTGCGTCAAATTTTTTAAATTTATATGAATTAAACTTTAAAAGCAGTATCTGGGAATATCTCAAAATTATAAATACAATCTCCATAAAATATGAAGCGACAGCAATAGATATTTTTGCTACCTGATTTTTAGTGAAAACTTTTACTTTTTATTTAAACACGTAGAAAAAGTATAGCATGCAACACGTTCGGTAAACTTTTTAAGTCACTCGTTTATTAAAAACTCGTGAGTCAAGTGCCTCTTACCGCACTTGTTGCAAAATATACTATATAATACACCGATCTAGCGTGCGGGAAGCGTCACTTTACCACGTGACTTTCTTGTCCCGCAGATTCGAGCCGCTTCGGACATTTGCGGGATATTCCAGCACTGGTTTGGGAGCAATCGGTTTTCACCCAAAAACTGACTGTCGTAGAAAAAAAGGAATCGAGACAACAAAATTGAGCATTTTACAGAAATCTCAACAATATGTATATATTCAAAATAAATTTCAATATCCTTGAATTAAATTTCGACGTTCTCAACTCTGACGGTCATGTCACTGAATATATTTCGTGTTGTTTTGCAAAAATATACCGAAAAAACTAACGGCCGGAGAAAAGCATATTATGAAACAAGTTTGATAAGCTTTTGAAGTCAATCGTTCATTAAACAATCGCTCTGTAAGGCTCTGTACTTTTAATTCTTAAATATTCATTCCGTTTAGGGATCATTTTGTTTTTTTCTTTACCATTCACCGTTTTCACTTGTTAATTCGTAATTATTTAAAAGATTGCAGATATTATCTTTATGCTAATGGGGTCCATCACATTTATTATTCTCTTTTATGGTACAGATACGGATCATTCTTAACGCTGAATCCTAATCACCGACATTCTGGCCGTAACAGAAATATTCATTTACTTTGTATTTGTTTATTTTTCTCTTTATTTTTGCAGTACTTATATTGTATTAAATTGAGTGTAATTTTTTGTATATCTTTATACTGATTGAAACAACAAAATCAAGTTAAATCTTTGGATAATAATTCCGAAATATGTTTGTCTTTTCAGTCAATTACCTCCTACAAAATATATTCTTTGGTCACACAGCGCATTATGTTTGTTAATTTTCTTGTTATTGTCTTATTGGGTGTCATCTTGATCGGACTTCGTGTAATAACATTGCGTACTTAGAAAATAAGTTCTAGTATGTTAAGTATTGCGAAGGTTTGCATTACTCAGTAAGTAAATAATAATTCATAGCTTTAGGATAAAATTTATTATTTACACTTTGCTCTCTACAACACCCAGCATTATTTAGGACATATTCAAATGGACCTGTAAAAAAAAGTTAGTTACATAAATTAAATAACAACAAAATATCTACATAGCATTTACTTTTGAAATCAATTCGTTGATTGTCTATTATACATTTTAAAGGAACATAAAGCATATAAGTTTAAGTAAAATATGAGAAAATATACTAAAGCTTTCAAAGTAAATACCAAACTACAAGTAAATTTTGGTTAAAGATTGCGTTTGTTGGCCTATTGCGGAACGATCCGTTACACTATGTAGGAAACGTTGGGCGAAATGTCACAGCTGTGAACAATGCCTAACAAATTTACACACTAATCTCGCATAAATAGAGCATAAATTAAATGGGCATAGTATGTACATATTTAATTAATTTAAAGCTAACGTATCGTAAAATTATTTTTAGTAAAAACTCGATTTTTACAGTTGGTTAATACGACCATCGAATATATTTTATTATATTACAAATTACAGAAAAAAATCCGAACTTGCTTCAGTCGGATTTTAACGTCTAATGTACTCGGCTCGAACACATTTCCATTGCACCAAAATAAGGGTAACCAGATTTGGCTTCGGTGGGTGAATGAGCCCCGTACGCCGTACCACTGGCGAATAAACTGCAACAAAGAAAAAATAAAATTGAAATACTATAAATTAAATACCAAAAATGAAATACAAAGTCCACAATGCACTTTCGTAAATTTTGGTTGGTTGGTAACAACGAACAAAATAAAATTAAAAATAATGTGATATTTGAACCACGATGAACTGCTTTGGTTAGTTTGCAATTAAGAAAAATGTAATTAAAAATATACTGATTTAAATATTTCGTAATAAAATGTACAAACTGATGAACTTGCTTTCCGAAATGAACCACAATTTGCCAAATGTCGTTGGAGTAAACTAAAATTACAAAAACTTTAATTAAGATATGTAGAGCCTCCCCTATTACATTTATTTTACGTCCTTCAATAAAAAGTGTCAACTCAAAAATATGCTGCGCATTAAAGTAGAAACTCCTATGGCTATAAGCAAAAACATTAGTCTCCGAAACATGTATCAACCACATATAATATATAACCTGATACATTTTCTTTGCTCAATTTTGATTTAAAATAATGAACAAAAAAGCAATTAATTTTTGTAAAGGACTAGTTTGTTGTAAAAATAATGTAAAACGAAAATCAAACCATCAAAAACATTAAAAAAAATCCAGCGCATTTTCGTTTTCGCAATTAAAGTCGAAAGTTGGAATGAATGATTTCAAATTTAGTAACATTCATATCCTGTGGTTTTCTATATTTGGGACAAGTGTATGATATTTTAATTAACAAACATTATCACCGATTGTAAAAGGAATGTTTTACGGTATTGTGTGACTCTTTCATGTACCACCATAAAATCAATCGTTCTCGGAAACATTAATTAGTTTTAAGAGTCCAATATTTCGCGTTAACACACAGCCCAGGTGTTTCGTTTAACTTGAAACATAAGATCTTTCCGCGTTGTGGATTAAGTTTTATTAAGGAAATTGCTGCTGTAAAGTTTCACGACCATTATGATATTGCAACTTTGGATGTTCGATGTTTTTGTCAGGCCAACTGATGTGAAATCAAATTTATCCCATAATTCATTTAATCAGTTAGATATCATCGCAAACTTTGGCATAACATTCACGATGGGGTCGACAAATTGCTTTATCGCAAACGGCTGCCGTTAATATAAGTTTATTACGTGGAGAATTGAGTTTTCGCACCATTCGGGTTGGCTTGAGAACTTTTTGTCTCAAATCTGGAGACTCGCGAATAAACAAAAAAATCTAAAAAATTTACCTTTATCTTTACCATTTATTAACTTGACTTTTTCATCTTTTAATCACGTATGAGCGCTCGGCATTCATAGCGGGTATGGTCTATTCATAGATATAAGAAAGTGACCAATTGCTTTTGAATGGGATAATTAATTTTAATAATTAATAATTTTATACCTACCTGTGTTTAATATTCTTTGGTTTGGTATACTACTTAGTTTGTTTATTAGTAATCATTCTCATTTCGTGTGTAATACAGCGTGTGCTGAATCGTGCCCGAATTATGCAAAATATGTGCGAGTCTAGTGTATCTCAGGAGATGCTGCCGCCCAAATGTAGAAAACACTATTCTATTGAGACTAAGGAAGTTGTAAACAATGTTTATTTGACTCTCATCGAACGTGGTGCCAGCAAGCAAGCATCTTTAGAAGAAACTGCCACATTGACGAAAATTCCAACATCAACTAACTGTATGGAAAATTGTGAATAATCCCATTTCAGCGAGGAAAAAAAGAAGCGATGCTGACATTTTCTCGAGTGTAGATGAAAGTGATCAAGATATAATACGGCGTAAAATTTTAGATATCTTAATTAGTAGGCTCGAAAAAGATAAAACCGGTGTTAAATGTGGCAGAACTACCATACACATGGGTTATACGTTTAAAAAAAATGACAAAAGGCGAGTTTTAATGGAATCTTTTAGAATTCGGAAATGGCGACTGGAATATCTAGAATAAATTAAGATTTACAAAGAACAATAAAGGCCAATTATTTACTTGGATGAAACCCCTGGTTCGACACTTATGATACCCGGAAAAGGGTTGGGTTGACTCAACTGATAAGTGTGAAACAAACGCGGGATCAAAAAGAGTTAAAATAATAACTATTTTGCATGCTGGCTCTAAAGATGGTTGGATTCCAAATGGCCTTTCTCTGTCTGCGAAAAATATTAAAGATTCTTCTCTGGATTACCATGAAAACACCACCCCTGATTTATTTGAAAGTTGGTTTAAAAACAAACTAGTTCCAAACATTCCTTCCAATAGCGTAATTGTAATGGACAATGCAAGTTATCACAGTAGACAGTTGACTAAAACCCCTTCCTCATGTCACGCAAAACAACAATCCAAAACTACATGTATAATAACAACATTTATTTTCACGAAGATTATACCAAAAAGCAATTAATTGAGGTTCTACAAAGCTTGAACCTACAAAACCTACAAAAAATCTAGGGCATACAGTTTTAAGGCTTCCACCTTACCACTGTACATTTAATCCCATTGAACATGTTTGGCACCAACTGAAATCTGCCATTCGTCGCAACAATGTTTTTCCCCGTGTAAACTTCAATGTCCTCAAACTTATGGAAACCGAAGTTTTTAACATCCCTCCACAAAGTTGGGCAAATTCTGTTAAACATATAGAAAAAGCACAACAATCGTATATCCATATTGCAAATAAATAGAACATATAATAATTAGAACAGGCGGTGATCGCGATAATAGGTAATACAAATAATTTGTAATTTTATTTTAGATTTAAACATAAATACATAGATAAATAAATAAATATTGTTTAGTACCTTTCCTAACAAAACACCAAATAATTAAATTCTAAGTAAAGTACGGACCTGTTCGTCCATATTTCATTCTTACAGCTTGGCCTGGTCTTTCCTTAATTCGTCGCAGTTAGTCACTTTCTTATATCTATGAACAGACTTTATCAATGTATTAGTGAGTTGTCTTCTAAAATCTGTGTCTGTGTTATACTACCGAAATATATGATTGACTATTTACTCGAGGAATATGTCAATAAAGTGTTACGACATCTGGTAAGTCCAAAAATCAAGAGTAACTGCATTAAGCATAGAAAGAGGTGTCCACGTGCTATGAAAGAGCATTTATATGATAGGCAATAAATCTACTCAATTGTGCTGTAAAGTTTTTATTGTAATTAAATCAAACTAGTTCTTATCTTGTAATTCTTGGTGTATCACCTTACGTTCCTTAAAAGAAATTATAACATGAATGAAATGAAATTGTATTATTGACATTACCTCAATTTGCATAAAGAAAGCAAAGATTTTTCAGATTTCCTTGGAAACAAGGCCAATTTTTTGCGTAACATATATAGAGCGCAGGGAAACAAATTTTGGTGACAGTGGGCTCACATATACCACAAACAAATGATGCTTGCTGATTGATTGCTGAAGCTTATAACAGTTTCAGTTTCAGTTAAGCTCCGAAGAAGCGAAGAAGAAGCTTAGCTCAAATTGTTTCATTTTCAGTTAAGCTCTGCAGAAGCCAACAGGATGATTGGCGAAACGTCAGCAAGTTCGACTCAGCAAAAACCGACGCAGGATGAATCCAGAAGTTTTATAAGAAATATTACAGTAGCTTGTGAAAGTTTCTTTGATAAATTAATAAACTGAAGTGTTCTATACACCCCTAGAACATTCTGAAAGGCGAATTAATACGCATACTTCTAACCAAGTAAAAGCGGAAACACCATATACCCGAGTTTCATTAAATCACGTCTCCTCGCTTTATCAGCAAACAAAGTCTCAGGCGGAAACACCATATACCCGAGTTTCATTAAATCACGTCTCCTCGCTTTATCAGCAAACAAAGTCTCAGACGTACCAATCACAGTACCATAAATAACAGCATACCGCGTTGATTTATTCCGCAGGCGCGAGAAACTCAAAAGCGAATTTCCTGACGTCAAAACACAAACTGCACATAACTTACGATTAATATATCCTAGTTTAACAATGGCGCGTTCTCTTGTTGTATTCAATACGTGGCCCAAGTTAATTTAACTGCGCGCGAAGTTACGGTCGTTCTGCTGTTATCAAGAACTGTTCGGTTCTTTAGTTTATTTCTCTTACGTGTCGGATCATAAAAGTGTCCGGGTACCGAGAAATCTGCGATGTAGGTACCTATCTCTTACGCTTTGACTTATGTTCGTTTGGTTAGTCGATTCGGCATAAAAGTAGCACGTCTATAGGTTTGTTTTCACACGAAGTGAGACACCTGATTCTGACAGCTCTCAAATATGACAAATTGTTATTGTTGTGAAAACACAGGACTACGGCAGACAAAATGATTCAGAAAATTGTCTTAACTTGTTCCTGGTTTACGAACATATTTGCAAAAATAATTTTCTATGAAGTGAATTCAACATTTGATCTGTGAAGTACATAAGCACATAACGCAAAGCCAAATAAGCAAATAAGATAAGGTAGACAGTACAGTAGGAGTGTCTGATCTGGAATCTTTATTAGCCAAATGCTTGCAGTAGAGCAGATCCAGCACAGATTCGTACGATAGCCAGCTTTTTGACAAGACTATTTCCAGGTACTCTGACAGTTTGTCCACCACAATTTCCGCAGTTTCGAAGGTAGCTGAGAATGCTTCGAACAGTTGAGCTGAAGGATTTTTTTTAATGCTATTGGCTACGACTGCCAGGATCATTCAGCCAGTTGGCTTCCGTTTACGGTTTTATACAGGGTGTTCGAAAATTGAGATATGAAACTTGGAGGAAAGATTCAACGTGGTAAGTCATGTAACAAAAATTCGAAATAGTAATTTCATAATTTCTGGGTTATAGCTTGTCAAAATTCATTTTTTTAAATTTTATTTTTAACAGGTTTGATTTAGTAAAAGTCATCGTTACATCGTTACATAGAACATTTTTTAAAATTTTCTGTGTATTTTTTTTATTTGAACTGATATTACAAAATATAAGAGATTGCGTTAATCAGAATCACAAATCCTCAAAAATTGTTACTCTTGTTTTAAG